GTTCCACACTTATTAAACGGCATTGAAATATAATTTTATCAATTTCTGCCAATGCAACCCAAAACTTTCATGCAACAATGTAATAGCAAAAGCGGGCTTTACGTGTTCGAATAAGACTAGAAATTATTTCTCTAAGCAAATTGCAAAAACATGTTCATGCCATGGACAAGTAGAACTTATTTGTAGTAAATATAGGTACTAGCATAGAGTTTGTATTACTCGGTATTAGAATAGATACTTTATACCGATATCAATAAACTTTATGAATTAGTAAACTTTATAATTTAGTTAGTTAGTATTTAGTTTAACATACAATTATTGAAAACTTAGATTGTAACCAAGTTAGAATTTGTTACTTTAAGGCACTGTAGGTAAATATAGTTTATATGTTACTTGAAGACTAAACTGTTACATATTTTTACTAACTTTCTTAGTTGAGTTGCAATGTATAAATAAGCAAACTAGCGACTCGCCCCTGCTTTGCATGGGTCCTGATACTAAACTTCTCCATTATTAATGTCATATAAATCAATGGATGTAAATTATACATAGTATGAACGTTCCTCTTCAATGACTCTATCTATTAAAAAAATCGCATCAAAATCCATTGCGTAGTTTTCAAGATTTAAGCAAACATACGGACGGAGAAAGCGACTTTGTTTAATACTATGTAGTGATAGTGATGACGACATTATAGAGCCCATGCAGTCGTGGATCGGGTTTGAAAAAAACTATAATGTAATAAATATCATGGATGTGTTATGACCAATGATATAGTCACTTATTTGGGATTTAATCATATTTTTATACAACGACATTTTTTTATTCTTTGACATGGTTATTTTATGAAAGTAGGCTTAATATGACTTCTGGACAAACACACCCAGTCAGTTAACACGTTACTCAGTCATCTATTTTCTGTATATTTGTGATTCTTCACTAAGATAAAACACAGAGAAAACCAAGTAAACCGTGCCAAATGGACTACTAAATAAATGTATTGATTTAATTATTCTCAATCTTATAAACCAGTACTGTTTGCATTGGTGAGATTTCAATATTTAAACATTATCTGTTTATGTGTTCTACATTTCTAATTTAAATACATCGAGGGTTACGTAAAAAAGTAGATTATCACTTGTGTAGGCGATGACTAGCGAAACTTGAGCTAATTTCAAGAACTGCGAAAGATATTCTCATTAAAACTAGCATTCAGATACACCGGAGAACATCACTTACTAGAAGTATCCACTATCTTGTATCTATATTAAGTTCGTGTTTAAAGCGGTTGCCACCAATTAACGTTGTCATAACCCTTGTAAAGAAAACACACAAAAAGTAAGAAACACACTGTCGAGTCGGTGTCAATTTCCTTTAATCCAATCTTGAAGAGCGCTAGACAGGAGAACTGTCAATTACTGCGGGCATTTTATCCTGGGTATCATTGAAACAAGGAGGAACGTAATCTGCCCAGCTATTCCCGACGGTCGTTGATCTAATTGAGCATTTGAGCGGTGCGTGCGTGCTAATGGACTAATTACGTACATGAAGCCGAGAATTGGTGAGTCAACAGCAGGACGCGGCCGCCCGTGGGAGTCAGACGGCGTGGCTCCATCCACACCGCTGGCATACTTCGTTATCGTAAAACGTGATTTAAACTTACTTTGATAGTAATCAATAGTAAGAATAGCCGACATGTGGGCAGTGGACAAAACCATGCTGTGCTTTATGTGGATGACTATACAACAGCCAAATTCATACTTTATTTTAAAAAAGCACACAGTGTAAATAATATTACTACTTAGCACAACAATTCGATATGGTCTTCGGCGCCCTCTTCACGTTATTTTGTTACTTCAACTATTCCATCATTGTTTTATTTTGAAGCTACCCTAAATTTCATAGGATTTTTTGTAGGGGGGAAAGGAGTAGGTATATCAAAATACTTCTCCTGCCGTGGGTGTCGGACCCTTACTGACTAAAATCCACCACGTTCTTTCTGCTATTCCTAGCCAGGGCAGCCATCGATGTTGACGGTGACGCGCTATATATCCGGGTCTGCTTATCTGGGTGACTGGAATATCCCCTGTGACGGTTGGACTGAGACCCCCACAGAATGTTCCACCTTGGTCTTCGGGTGGACCCAGGCAGGATCGTTATTTTCTTTGTTCTTAGAAAGTATATTTTACAAAAAAAAACACTTTTATTATTATTACTTTTCATAAAAGAAGTGTCTACTAGGAAACAGTATAAAAATATTTATTGACCTATAATACATTTTATATGATATTTTTAATTTCTTTCCAATTCCAAGTGGAAATCAGATGTACTTTTTCCTTTATCTCATCGAAATATCTTCGGAAAAACAGGATTGAAGTTGTTAAAATATACACGGTTATCCATGTCATCCAATCGGTGATCATTTTTAATATACTCGTGATTAGTTTAACATTCTATGTCAGTTATGTACTATAAAGCAATTCCACATCTCAAATTGAAAGTATTAGTAGGTTAAGCACGATGTCATAATGTTCAATCAATACAAAAAATCTTAAAGTAAATCACCGCTCTCAGTTTTCATGCACAAAACCAGTAGACATAATTTTATTAGTAGACATTTGACTCTCCACGTATTTATTCATTTGTTAAATCGATGTAAAGTTCAAACAGGTTGACAAATGATTAAATACGAGCTCTATTAATCATTCAGTATAACATTATGCTAACAAAGCAAGAATTCTCAACAAGTTTTAAGCCAAACTCTGCTAAAGCAAACTTGATGTGGGCAATGTTTCAAATCCAACGGCATGCGTCGCGATAGATTTAATATCAATTATTATTCTATATCTTCCGAATAAAAACTGGTATAAAGTGATTCTAACTTTCGCTACCGTCAAAATACCTCATATAACGGCTTCAAGAGACACGCGCCAAAAAAAGAGCATAGCCGACAGAGCCTTAGTTATTTGCGCGTAACGGCGCGGGCGCAACTCCGGTAGCTGGCAATCGCGCGCCGCGCCACTCGCGGTGCCCGGTAGCACTCAATAAGTTGCCGAATTTCATGCTCACAATAATTATTGCGGTTAGCTCGTATTTATGAACGCTCATACTTAATAATAATTGAGGTTTATTATCTTCTATAAACCGCATTGTACCGGTATTTTTAAGTTTCTATACGATTTATTACGACGGCTATAACAACTCCGAAACTGTTCTGAACTTTTTAGTAGAGCATTTTAATGGACTTTAGATTTATATTTATTTAATTTTTCGATGAGAATCTAGAAAGAAAATACTGCATTTAATTTATGTTACGATTTTTTAAAACTGAACATGAATTATGTAACGAGTTTGCGCAGGCGCTGGCGACGGGAAGGCTTCCATATAAATGTAACGGTAATGAACGTGAAGTTTGTTTGATATTCGGTTTATCTCCACTGATCAAATAATTGACTGACTAAAGTGCGAATTTACATTTGACGCTAATTGTAGTTTTATAGCTCGAAATTCGCCAGTATGTGGTTGCTGTAAACAAGTAAATAATTAGCTAACACTCCACTGTTACCAAATACTTGTCGTGAAATGAATGTTGAAATTTTGACAACGTTTAAAAAGTTATGTTTTGATAGATCATTGTGTGTTCCTTAAGTAAACACGACTTCATGGTAGGTGCATTGATAAAAATCGCCATAATGTACTACGATAATATAAATCTAGATATATATTCAAAGCTAAAAGTAGATAAAATAGCCCATGGCATTAAGCTTAAGCCTACAATAAACGAAAACTGAGATAAAAAAGTACAAATTGCAAATGGAATTATTTATAATTTGCAATGGCTATTTGTATAAAATGGTCTATGCGTCGTATCTATATCATGTCACAACAAGTCGGCGATACGAATCGCTCTGTCCGTTTCATAAAATATATTAGCGCAATAAATGTGCCCAGAAAAACTTGACCTATCACACTATCTTACGTAAGATATGAAACATAACTGTGTTAATGTTACACCTGTTTCATAAAAATAGTACTGAGATGTACATCTGTGAGGGCACGTGGGTCAACATGAAACACATCACTCATCATTGTTCGCGACACACTCATCGCACAGACACGCTGCTTCACTTTTATCTTCCAATATTTACTCAATCACATCTCATTGTTATAACTTTCGTGGCAGCTGCGTCCTGCATAAGAGAAACCTATAAAAACAACTACACATCACCCATTATCTGAAATACGTGAAAAAGACTATACAACCAAGGTATTAGAGGAAGCGCGTCGTAAATGATAAACTCTGTTGTCACTTCTTATCACTGGGACTCGGTTTGGTGAGTGACTAACGCTTTTGTTTGAACTCGAAAAATTACACTGCCTTCACAGTTCTATAGGAACTTTGAAAAGAATGTGTTATCGCCCTAACGGTGGTTTGTCGAGCTTTGTTTTGTAGTTTGAGACCGTTTTTTGGCATTGCTATTAACTTTTTATTTGTGACTAATAATGGACCAATAATTTGCATTAGTCATTAATCTCCAATAGCTACAAACTAGAAGAAAGACTTATCTACGATTACATTACACATTTCGTGATTTCTCCCGAATCTCCTTCTGCGTAGCATTCGTAGCACCGTAGCGGCCGCCCCAAAATAAATAAACAAAAATAGATTATCTGTACAGTGGCGTAGCGTTCATTCTCGTTCAAGTTTAGCTATGTGTCCAACTTATTGAAATTTTGTATTTAATTTCAAATACCGATGACAAGTTAAGAGTCACGGTGTGGTAAGTGTGGATTCTGCGGTTTACCATTCAGACTTAGCAAATAGTCTAAGTGTAGATCTAATGTATTTTGCCAGTTTACTAGAGAAATTAGAAATTGCGTTATTATAAGTAGTGATATTATATAGAAGTATAAAAAAAAAATCAGTAATTTCTGAAAAATGTAACAGCGCTGACGTGTCGATCGGGTATTGGTGAATTTAGGTGATAGTGTGGGTGCTGATGGTGGTGGTGGTAGTGGCAGCTAGTGGTATGGTGAGGGTTGTTCCCGAAGTGTGGCAGGCATGTTGTCGGAGGGGCGGGGCGGTGTGCAAGGGCCGGGGGGCGGGGCGGGCACGCCCGCGCGGCGGCGCAGGCGCGGGGTCCGTGGACGACGCCGCCGCGTCTGCCGCGCCTGGCGCTCATTCGGGCCGCGAGCGCAGCGCCGCGAGCACGCGATGCGCAACACTTCAGCTCCGCACGCACGAGCGCGCGACCACTCCCGCGCGCCTGCCCGACACAGTGATGTTACCAGACTCCGCTGTTATGTGCCATCGATTCGGTCGTGAACGAGTGCCACTCCATCTGTTTCCCAAACGTTGACTGTGCGTTTGTTCGAGGATATCGCGGATTTTGCGTACCCGTCGACGTTGGATGCGTTAAAATTTCGGGTGAGTGAGAGAGGCGAGCGGTCGTGCGCCCGCGGCCGGTTTGACCGCATTATTTTCGAAATACGTACGCCGCAATCCGGTCGACCGCGCTAGAACGATCAAAACATTATAACAAAAACATATAAATTCGGTGACGTTAATATATTTTTCCAGATCAGCCCGTATTTTCGTGATTTTTAATACTTTCACAAAAAGTTATTTAATTGCATACAATTGTGATACTGTTTGTTTTGTTGTAATTTAGGATTCAAGATTCGCTGTTTATCGAATTATTACATGTCTGTGCTTCTCATGTGGTTAGGTGGACTTGGCTCCAGTCAATAAGATAGTTTGAGCTAAACAATCGTGATTAAATAATGTCAAGCAAACTAAACAGCGCGTACAGTTACTCGTAGCAGCACGAAACGCATCCCGTTGATGTCTTTTACTGAACGCTTTTGGAAAGTGCTTGAGCGATATAACCATGTTTATATTGGGTGTTTGTGTAACATGACATGTGAATTTGGTTTCTCTTCATTTTAATATGGTGTGTATCGTCAAATATGCAATATTAGCAAAATGTTTTCAATTTAGTTTTTCTCAGTTTATAATGAACACAGAGCGACGTTTAACAGTGATAGTGAATTTGTGTTTTAGATAAGAAAACAAAGTAATGGTCTATTTAATAGTAGTATTTCATTGATATTTACTTTTTGCAGACGTTGTAACTCATATACATTTTAATGTATCGCGTCACATGGTCACTTGTATTTTGATAATCCCCACCACTTGCTACGCCGTAGAGATGTCATTTCGTTAGTAAATTAATCAACACATCTGCATATTTTGAATGACATACCTATGTAATACATGATTGGGGAAAAACTGGGTTAACTTCGGATATTCTCTTGTAATCTTTACATAAGAAGATTGTTTCGGATTATCGCAAATACTGGTACACATGTTATAGCTCATTGCTTTGAAACGCTTCTGGTTTCTCTCAGTGTTGGGAGTATTCGCTTATAAATTACTCGGACGAAAACATTCTTGTAAACAATTACAGGGAAATTGCGAAAGAGTAAACAAACGTACAGATAAGATTATAAACAGCTGTGTTGTGGTTTGGCGAGGTGGTGCGAAAATTGTTTTATTAAAGAAGCGATATTTTGCTAACTGGGTGATTCTTAGTTTGTTTGTGAGGTGTATAGGAACGCTTGTTAGGTAAAGTAAATATCCGTAAAATTTACTCAATCATATACCTACCGCCTTTGATATACTTATTACAAAAACAAGCCATTTTAATTTTTTTTTATTGGATTGCTAACAATTTTTAACAATAAAAAACGCAGATCATCTTAAATTACAGCACAGTTAAAACTACAAAAAAAAATATTTCAAACGTCAAAAGCCGTAGCAGAATTAAATACGCATATTTGTACTGAATTGTATTCATCCGCGTCATAAGCATAAGCTTACTCAATCTCCTTTATTAATTAATAATTGCTCAACCAAATATAAGCAAATTATTCTCAATCAAAAGTGTATAGTCAGTGATTTAACCCATGTTTATTAACAACTATAGTCTAAACACAACGTTGAAATAAAAACGGAAGACTTTAAAACCGATGGTGTACTTCTATGGTAGGTACTATAAGTACATGGGCTTGTACAGTTTTACTTAAATGTGACAAGAGGTTCGAAACTTGCCTCTCCACTTATGCATGTTGACCGGTACATGTACCACTCAATTGAATTAAATATGCATGAGTATATTACAATGTATGTTAGTGCATTCGTTAGAAATACACCTAGAGATAAAACGACTGCCGGTCGGACACAGTGTCAGTCTTTGTTGACCAACCAATTACTAGTAAAATGCATCTGTGTTGTATGTTCATTGGAAATTCTTACTCAATCGGATTATTTGTGCTGATCTGCCTCGATAAACCTTAGGTCCCGGTAAACAGCAGTCGTTTCGATTAACGTTTTACTTTACTCAATAACAAATCTTCGTTCGTTTGTTACTACGCAAGGCCTTTCCGCTAATAATTAAGTTTCAGTTAAATTGATTATAATTAAATTGTTTTTTTATAAGGCCACTTCATAAATTTTAATTCTAAAATTGTATGGTATAACTTAAACATAATACAATGTATAGAAATAAATACAAAAGGAGGAAGGAGGTTATGCTTAGTTCAAAAAATCTCTGTAGTAGATTTAGTTAATTACAACAAAACTTTTATAACACCTATGCCTAAGTACCTACCTAATGAATGACTTTTTTATGTGAATATCAAAATTAACGTATATTTTTTTGTATCTTTGCAGGTGGGTCGAGGAGAATTATGCGTGGGGCGTGCGCATGCGCGGTGGTGTGCGCGCTGGTGGCGCTGTGCGCGTGCGCGGGACTGGACGAGCGCACGCGCGGCGCTGCTGAGCGCCAGTTGCTGGCACTGCTGGGGCTTCCGCGCCGACCAGCGCGCCGCGCCGCGCCGCCACTGGTACCGCGAGCCATGCGCCTGCTCTATGAGGCTGACGGCGCCATTCCTGCCGCTGCCGCCAACACGGCGCGATCTTATCACCACACTCCCACCGAGCTGGACTCGAGGTTCCCTGGCGAGCATAGATTTCGCCTCTATTTCAACTTGAGCGGAATACCCAGTGATGAACTTGCTCGAGGAGCAGATCTCACGTTTCAACGAGTTGACGGAGTCGAAGGCGACCAGCGCTTGCTCCTGTACGATGTAGTACGACCGGGCCGTCGCGGTAAAACAGCTCCTATCTTGCGGCTTCTTGACTCAGTACCGCTGAGGGCTGCTAAAGGTGCTGTTACTGCAGACGCGCTCGGTGCCGCGCGACGATGGCTCACGGAGCCTGAACATAATCATGGACTATTAGTGCGAGTGTTAGAAGAAGGTGAGCAAAACGTGGACGCTCAACGACCACATGTTAGGGTGCGGAGACGTGCTGAGGAGGAGGACGAAGAATGGAACACGCGGCAGCCGCTGCTGCTGTTGTACACGGAGGACGCGCGAGCCCGGGCTGCGCGGGAGAGTGGAGAAACGCGCCTGGTGCGCAACAAGCGGGCGGCGCAACGGAGGGGTCACCGCGCACACCATCGTCGCAAGGAGGCTCGAGAGATCTGCCAGCGACGACCTCTGTACGTCGACTTTGCGGAGGTCGGGTGGAGCGACTGGATCGTTGCACCGCACGGCTACGAGGCGTACTACTGCCAGGGTGACTGTCCGTTCCCGCTGGCGGACCATTTGAACGGCACGAATCACGCCATTGTGCAGACTCTCGTGAACTCAGTGAACCCGGCCGCGGTGCCGAAAGCGTGCTGCGTACCGACGCAGCTCTCCTCTATTTCCATGTTATATATGGACGAACTAAATAATGTGGTGCTCAAAAACTATCAGGACATGATGGTGACGGGATGCGGCTGCCGATGACGAAGGCGCCCCCCACGCCAAGTGCGGACCTAGTGATAACTCGTGGACCCAGTGTATATATAGTGACGGCCTCGAACATTGTACATACTTATTTGTGTATATATTCGTGTAATTATTATTTTATTAAAATGCAGATGTAATAAATGATGTAATTTTAAATTGAATCTGTTTATTATTCATTTAGCATCCCATGTTGTGAATGTAGTAGGAAAATTAATAATACAGTTACAGTTGGATTTAGTCAAAAGTCATAGGTTTTATAAATTCTTGTGTACAAATGCACTGCATTGCACAAAACCACATTTGTATAACTACAGTAGTTGAGTAACATTTTGTCATAACAAAAGAGAACAAAAAAACTAGACAATTAAACAGATGAAAATGTTTGTTACGAATCATGTTAATTATGGTTTCATTCAACTTACATTCAAATTTATCATTGGCAACTTTATGTAAAAATACCAACCAAAAATCGTCGATAAAAAAGATTTCATAATGTGATAGAAAATGGAAACAGTAAATCTAAGAATCGACGATTGTAAGAATCATCGAGAACACACATTATTAGTAGTTAGACAACTAGTACTGTATACACCTGTAAAAATATAAATGTTTAAACGAAGGAATCAAAACACAGTACTGACCGCCACAATATCTTTGAGGAAAGGTCAGGAACCAGAAACACAAACTCCTTTATTCGAAACCACTTCACTTTCAGCTATTGTAACTTTTATCGTGTTATTTCGCAAGCCAATGAAAATATGGATTGAGAAAATTTAACGTTTGTTGACCTTTGAACAATCAAAATGTGCTACAGTTCTCCTTTTTGGCCTTTAGGCTCATGTTATGCCTACAAAAGCCGGAAACAGAGGTCACGTTCAAGTTCCAGTCAAAATATACCTTAACAGATGAACGTGGTCGTTTAGAGGTGTGTGTCACAGTAACCTCGTTACAAGGTTAAACACAAATGAATGAAACAACACAACGACACATCCAAGTGTAGTTTTCATACGTAAATTGCAAGTCTATATGCATCTGTTTATAAAGTGAGCCATAAAATTCATAGCTATAACGTTCAAATTAAAACAGAAAGCATTGTGTATTAAGGTTTTATTGTGTGAGTAACAATAATCTGATATTAAAATGAAACCTGGTTATCCCAGGATAAGATATCAATATTAAGAGAGACATTAAGTGGTATATACATATACTTAGTTGGCACAGTTTCATTTCAGTTTCATATGAAAAGACAGAAGAGGTTGAAAGAGTTGGTATAAAACCAGGAAAATCAAAAGAGTACCTATTCATGTGTTCTAACATATACACAGATTATAATCTTTTTAAACTTTAAAAGAAGAGCTATAAACTTAATTTAAAATTTAAATCATACTTTAGCGGACCCAGAAATGAAATACGGGACCTCTTACTCGGCAGTTGCATTTGTTCCCATACCGATTTTTTTTAATTTTTAGTATGACTATGAATAACTTTCTTAAAATGTCAGTTGACAATGAAAATAATAACATACTTACATTAACCGCCATATACACCAATGAGAATAAATCTTTTAAAACTTTAAAAGAAGAGCTATAAACTTAAATAAAGCTAAATTATAATTATTAGAAGCAGCAAAACTTACGGACAACCAGATGATGAGCTACCACTCCAGCTTAAGTACACCAGCAAAGAAGGTATCACAAGCGTTGTCAACCATATAAGATACTGTATAATTGTGATACCATTTCCAGGGACGAAGGCTCCCAAAAATTGGTACAGCAAGCGAGTTAGCCTTCCGAATTTCCTTTTAGCAGGTGAACTGTATTATTTGGGAAATGATAAGGTGCTACGATAATATCATGAAAAACGTCTTGAATGAATTTATGTTTCAAAAAATTTGGTGCAAACGGTAGACTTCTTGTCGGCGCCATTTTTACCCTAATATGGATCTTAAATCCATTGGAGTATGGGTTACAATCGAAACAATGTGAGCAAGAGCACTTTTGTTTTAAATATGCGTACATATACATAACTCCACAGTAAAATAACGTTGTATTTTGGGATAAAGGGAGAAATATTATTATTCTTGGATATAAAAAAAGTACAATCAGGGGTCAAAAATGCAATTACACTCTACCAATTTTAAAATGACTAAAATTTCTTTGTAGTAAAAGTTCAATGGATCACACGCCAGTTTATTCAATAATTTAGATTCTATGCAGAAGCGCATGCTATAAATTAAAGCAGTCCTCGACCATTGACTATTTTCTACAAAGATATTTTGGTCATTTTAAAATTGGTAGAGTGCAATTGCATTTTTGACCTCTGACTGTATATCTGTAGTTCACTCAGTAAAATGCCTTATATACTTTTATCAAAAAATCTAATATTCACGATGGATTATATCTTAAAGTACGGTCTTTCATGAATAAAACAAATAATATTTATAAGTTATTTGTATTGCCTAGTTTTTTTAGAAATTAATGAAGTTCTATGTAGTTGGTCGGCGTAAAGTAAAAAATACATTCAGGTGTTATAATGTAGAACACAGAATGAGCAGAATACCTACCTAAGAATAGTATGCAGATACATATTTACTCTATACAGTTTGACCGACTAAAGTATATTTATATGTTATTTAAAACAACAACAACAGATAAAAAAGATACATTGAAACATTTACGTCAACCAATGACAACTTAATTATTCATATCGATCATTTGTAATGATCTCAAGCTAGGCTTCCGCTCGGAAGTTCTAACTGGGTGCCATTGAACTACTCTTACTAAGTTTAAACCACACCTATCAATATGGCTATGAAAAAATTTAAACGCATTCAGACATTAGCACGTCACTCGAACCGTTTACAAAAAATGGCAAAACATAAATCGCGTAACGGAAAGTGGATTGCAGCACATAAACAAAATGTTTTGAAGTCTTGCAGCTTGAATCACTGGATACATAATAATTTAATTGTCTAAGAGCGTGGAGTTTATTCTCGGACACTACGTATGCCGTATGCATGCGGGGCCGCATTCCTCCGAGGAAATTCATCTAGTTGAATTGTATAAGGTTAGCTAGCCGCATGACGTGCGCTCAGGCCTTTCTTTTCTCATCGTATCTTCTAACGATACCATCCGCACCAAACAAATGACTAGTTTTGACACTTTTACGCATGCTTTACCTTGAAATATAATGGTCATACAATTTCATGGTCCTCATTCATTCTTAAAATATCATGTAATAGCTTATAAAGTCGTCTGAAAAGAATGTCAGAGATAATATTTAAAGTGGATTCCATTTAGAGTGTGGCGGGCAGGTCTCCGGATTTCAAATATTTCGTCACAAGGCGGCTATATATCATGTTTTTGCCTGGACGCAGGAATGCGCGGCCGTATAATTTGGCCGGCCACCCGGCAACTCCGCGTCTGCCGCGCCACCCGCCCTACGTCTATATTATCAGTAGATAAATTCAAGCTTTGTCTTTGCCTCGTATTTCGTCCTCTCGAGATTTTGCTTTTGTTTCTTTTTTTCGTTCGCTTTGGACGGCAACAAAAAACTGAGTGGAGGCGAACGAAGTGGGTATAATTTATTTTATAGTCGGCTCGCTCGTAACTCGGCGGTGGACGGCTGGACGCCGATTTATCCCCATCTCGGCGTAATTAACGTAAATGGATTGGTCAGCGTCGGTGCCTGTGAGTGCGCCCGCCTCGAACTTGGTTGCGGCTGAGCCACTCCCTGCTCATCAACAGGAGCCGGGGCCAATCCGCGGAGGGCAGTGCCGGTGCCTCCAGATAATACCTCGTGTGATCTGGCTTAATCCAATTAGAGTTTTTTCAAACCGCAAGCCGAATAAGATACGAAAATCGTTTGTTGATTACGTACGCTCGGTTCCCAAGGAGCGCGGCGACTTATCCCTAAGGGAATTATAATTGTTTTGCATTCTTGCACGGGTATAAAAACAAAAGGGCGAGGTACGGGCCCCCCGCGCTGCTGCCCTGCAGACCAGACTAAAGTCTGACGACTTGCATTCCCTCGAGACAAAAAGCTACAAATGAATTGGAGCGAGCTTTCGACTGCGCTCACGTGGAAAGCGATTGCTTTTGTTTGAAACATCGACGTGAAACGTTGTTGTTATAATCATTTAATTGTTTGTTAATTACTTGGGCTGTAAAACCAAAATTCATGTAATTGATACGTATCAAACCTTAGATATATCGCATATGTTTAATGTTTATTAATAACCAAGTAAAACAGTGTCAAAAATATGCTTTACTTGCCAGTTTTTCTGTTCACCTAGGTATACGCTTACATACTTATCCATACTTACTTACTTATCCATACTTATCTATTTAAATATACAACATTTTAGGTCAATGTTCTTTTTATTTCATATATTTAAGAGTCAAACAATGACGGTATTTTATCGGATTACAAACTTAAACTCTGCTGAATAACCTGAAAATGATATACTCATCCAAAGTTAATTCAAGTTCAAGCATTCCGCCATTATCGTTTATTTCATTTTTTTTAATTCTTGCCTAGCAATTCCGAGGTCATGGCATCGATATAACCAGCCTCAACATTGATAATAGCTGTAGCAAAAACTCATTTCACATAATACCCAACAGGTGTGTTGTATAGCACAATATTGCAAAATTGTTTAGTTTACAATGTTTTTATGCAAAAGTAATAAAGTAATATGAAGAAAAAACCAGTTTAATTTGTGCATGCTTGGAATATTTTAGAGGAGGCGTGCGGTCGATGGCCGTACCGCGGCCGCGAGACTCCGGCGCAACACGACGCAGGCCCGCGGATGCGCCCGCGCACCCCGCCATCTACACAACCACCTTATCTTATCAAGCGCACACTCAACATACGGATACCATCTGGCCACACGCGGTAACAATCAAACTGCACGCTTTTATTACCTACTTTCATACATTTTTTGACTGTTTAGCTTATCTTAATCACAGGCCTTTTTATTTTATTTTTTCCAAGAATGTCGTATTCGTATGCAAATTAGTTTTTATTTTGTAAGACTCGGTTTGGGTGTACACAATATGCTTACACTTACGTGGCAACCCTAACAACTACTTGCGTTACGTACAAATTATAACAAACCGTAATCTGTTTT